GCGACACCATGCCAGAGGGTGTTCGAACAGCAGAAGACCGAGCCCCTGCAAAAACTTTACGTCGAGTGGCAAAGCCTTCCAGCTGTTAACACTTTAAACTGTGACCATAAGCTTTTTCCCCACGGTATTTCGCTCAGGATAGGCAATTTTGATTGATGACTTCGATGAATCAGAAGCCGCGAAAGCCGCAAACTCTTGAGTGACACTCGATTACAAACAGCGAAAGACTCGCCATGACATTCCTCAAAACAATGCAGTTGAGTGGAAGTTTCTGCAACTTTACGGGGCGTGATACAGCCTTCCAGCGGTGTACACTTTAAACTGTGGCCATAGACGTTTTCCCCATTCTATTCCGCTCAGGAAATTATATTTTGATTGATGACTTCTCTAAATCAGAGGCCGCAACAGCCACAAAACGTTAATGACACTCGTTCTGAAACATCGCAAGACTCGCCATGATATTCCCCGCAGCTGCATGATATTTATCGTTAAAACAATACTAAACCTTCTTTGTTTGGTCATGACATTTGCTTCAATGGCCGGCTAGATACCTTCTCAACATTCTCGGCATTTAAGATACATAATTCCGTTAGCCTGTGGGTAAAAATAACGAGAAAACCAAATGGCATCGGGCGTCCATCTTCGTACTTCGCGCGAAAACAGAGCGGCAACTCTGCAACCGGATGTGATGTCATAAATCGGTGGATCATAGGTACACGAAATTTCGCTAAGTCGTGGGCTATGGCGTTCCATTTCCGCCAAAATTCAATGTTTCATTTTACATTGTACTTTGCACAATCTATCCTACACTTTGTGTTTGTCATTTGAGTTTGCACTCGCGATTCAACTTTTTTGCATTCAACATTCAACTTTGATTTATGCAACATTCAAGTTTTCGCTTTCGACATTCAACTTTTCATAAGCAACAGTCAGGTTTTAGAATTCTACCTTCAAGTTCAGTGGAATGTACATTCATTTTTTCTCATCCAACATTTAGCATTTGTCCTTTAAGTTTTCGCTTCCGACATCCGACTTTGAGCATTGTACTTGCAAGTTTCCGCATTCGACATTCAACTTTTCGACTTTGACTTTTACCCGCTGGTCAGCGACCGATTAAGATCGTGGGCTCAATTGACCTGACCTACCCCCGCTCAAATGGTGGTCGAGAGACTTCCCAGTCGAGTGGACTCGGGAGACCTTCTCCACTCCCGGCAAACCAGACGTCGACAACAACATGGCCGATCGCCGGGATGCGGAACCGTCAGCTGCTAGCTTAAGTGAAGTGAGAGCCACCCTGTTGAGGGTGGCTGACCGTCTGTCCTCGTTGGAAGAGACACCATCTCCAAGTAAGTATCGGGCAATCTTTGTCAAGTATGAAGAAGTTATGTGTTCAATAAAGTTCGCGCGTAAGCGCCGACACAAGCTTACATGTACGCATAAATAGCGGCAGCATCATTTTGATCACTTCACGCGCGCTGCGTAATGGACGGCATCGATCGTAGAATGAAATATTTCCGAAAGGTTTTGCTTGCAATACTCTTGTCTTTGTGTTTTTACTCATTTCTTTATTGTGTGAGAATTAAGGAATGAATTTTGATTTGTTGCCCAGCAATCAAGAATCGGTCTGCATAAAACGCGACAGGCACCCCAATCTCTGGCCTCCCATGCAGACTACACAAGCTCTTGTGTCTGAGCAATTCAAGTAATGTAAGCGATGGGTAATACAGAAAAAGCTACAGTGCTCGCACACCGTACATGTATTTATTTAATAATTATGTCAGAGCTCTCTGTAGTTAAATTTGTTTGGATTGGCTGTTGAGAAGGTTCTGCTTGAATATATTTATTATTATAATTTTTTTTATTTTTAGACAGCACCAGAAAGGTACAACAGAATACAAATCCTTCTCCAGTTGCTTGTCTGTCTGCTTCTGTTGCTGCTGAACAGCCCAGGCTGTTTAGCCATGGAAACAATGCAAAACGAGCACGTTCTTCTGGCAGCTCTCTTCCAAAGTCCAAACGAAATGCTACATGTACTTTAAAGTTTGTGTGTCTAGCTGCCAAGGAAGAGGCAGACCGTCCACCAATGTCTGTGAAAGAAAGAACGGCACTGGCAAATGCTGGCTTGGGTGATGCTAGTATTACCTTTGGGTATAACAAGAGCTCTGTGTACAATGGAATCATCCAACGATTTCCTCAATTGAGTGAGGTTGGGGGTTTTGACCTGCTGTTGTTTCAGAGAGGTGATGGGGAGGGTGCAGGGTTCCACAGAATTCTTCCCCCACACACACCTCAAAGGCTGAAGGAGTTATGTGGCCAAGCAAAAATTTTCATACGACCTCTCCAAAAGGACATTGAACTTGATGACAAAGGTGGAGAAGATAAAGAAGATGTAAGTTGGATAGCAGAAAAGTGACTCTTTTCGCTTTATTTCTTGTTCAGTTGGTTTTGTATTGTAATTAGCTGTGTTTTGGATTAATTAGGAGGAGAGCATTGTTGGTAATATTTATAATAAAACAAATTATTTGTTGAATTTACTGATGAGAGTATGTGTACATGTATGCTTATTTAAGTTAAATTTATAACCTTGTTCTTTTAACCTGCCCATGGGTTTGTTATATATATGTACAGTATATTAAATTCAGTCTGGAATATACATTATATCAAGCTTCATTATTTTCTTACTGTGAAAGTAGTGGATTTTTTGTAATATCAAATGGAAATGATGTTAAAGTTTAAGATGTAGACGCTTTAAGTTAAAATGAAATTCAGATTACAGTGGTTTCAGTCTTTGTATTTCTTTTCTTTTTTAATTTTATTTGTCTCATAAACATTTTTCAGAACAAAGGAAATCCTAAAACAAACTGTAGCTGAAGAACATTTTGACATGATTTACATTGTTTATACGCTTCAATTATGTGTGTATTTTTAACTACTGCTTACATGTATGTTTGTTGATTTGCCTACCCTTCTAAATGATTATTTAGGTTGACAGTGATGTTCCTATGATTAACTGTTTTACCTGTGGTGCTGCTATTATCATGACGGATATGCAGGAGCACCAGGAGACTCACCAGCAAGGAGAGACCAAGCAGCCTGAAGATGACTTTGAATTCAGTGCTGGTCAGTACATTAAGCTTGCTGAGTATCATGATCCATACTCTTTGTATCTTATTTATGTCATAAATAATGTGCAAATGTAACTAGGGCTTGAAAGTACAATTCAGTGAATACTTGAACAGCTGAAGAACTTTCTTCTTTGTGATATGACGTTATGACACCTTTAAATTACAATCATGTTTAACTGAGGAGAAAGCCTCTTCAAATCTTACATCACAAAGTTCACCTCCTTCCTGGGGGGAGGGGAGGATACTTTAGGAATTTCTGGGTAGGGATGTGCTACTGGGACCCTGGGACCCTTAGCCTATACCAGAGCTAGTTCAGCTGAATTTTGCTACTCTATTCTAGACTACTATCCTATAGTAGTTTTGTAGGCTGAGTTTTGTAAAGTTAAACGTGCTGATTTGATTTTTTTATATATTTTTGAGTGTCAATTCCCAGTTTCTCTATTGTAGACTAAAACTTTCAACCAATTCCTGGAAAATAATACCCTATTCTAGACCCAAACTCTCTGATTGATATACCCTATCCCAGAGTAAACTGCTTAAAAACCATTACCCTTTACAGTGGCACATACTTATTTGTGGCAAACATACATGCCAGTACCACCCCAGGACCTCCTCCCTTAGTGGATGTATTTTCTGTTATCTTATATTTGAAGTAGAGTGCTGTAAATCAAAGGAACTCAAAACCCACTCAGTAACATTATGTTTTTTATAGACAATGACAGTAACTGGGAACCTCCCCAATGCTCCAGCCTTCTCAGTCACAGAAGCAGCAGCAGGATGAAGTTGTGTATTGCAAGGGGACAAGATCCAGCAGAGTAGTATTCATCATAACTTCATAAGGCGTGTCATAATAAAGCTTTCCCTGTATTGGAAGTAAATTACAAGGATCATATGGCATGCCATTGGTGCCAAAATTATGATGCAAATTTTTAATATAAAATTTGTTTTTTCACATTTTTTTCCCTATTTTGGGGTACACATTGTCTTTTAGTTTGCACAGACTTCCTTTTTGGGTTGATTTTTCTTTATTAGACTTGACATTGGGTTGGTATAGTTTTCAGTTTTGGTCAGCTTTTTTTAATGTGTCGACTTTTCATTCGGGTGGACTTTTCATTGTCATTGCATCAATTCAAGTCACGCAATACTGGTGACATCTCCTAAGGGATCATGGGAAATGCATTTCCTGTGCTGCCAGTCTGTTGTTTATGCACTGCCATAAAAAAATAGCAGGGCAGACTGTGCATACCTACCCTCCCAATCGTGGGGTAAAACATTGACAGCCACCACATTTTTTGGGGGATCATTTAAATCAATCTAGAAATGGGGTGAATTTTTACTCCCTGCAGAAAAATGAAGAATGAACATCTTTCAGCTGGAACCAACAAGTAAAAACAGCCAAAGGTATATTAAATATACCTTTGGCTATTACTAACCTTGTCTGTTAGATGTTAAATTATGCAACACACAAATTTTCATTATGTAACATTACTTTACTTGTGACTGTCTCTGCATAGCTGTTCAGTCTTCAATAAAATTGCCTTTATTGAGTTATTTTTATTACTTTGTGAAAAGGCAAAGAAATAAGCATTACATGATATATTCAGTTTATTCAGCAGCAGCCTGACTTCAAGGTCGTGAATACTTTGAGCCACAAAAAGAGAGGGGGGGTTGTGCATTGGCTAATAACAATTTACATGTATTATTGTGGTTGTGACATAACCTGCATTTGCACTGCTATTTAAAATAATGCTAGTACATATTAAGATTTCGTTTGTTATTGCAGGTGAAGTACCATTACACATAGATGACAATGGAGAAGAACCACAGCCTGGTCCATCTAGACAAACAACAGAGGAGGAAACCCTGCAACAACTAATGGAGATGTTTCCGGACAAAAGTCGAGATGACTTGGTGCGAGCCCTCAGTCTACACGGGACTGTTGGTGCTGTGGCTCTTTCTCTTTCCAGTAATTTACCTGAAGATGATTTTAGCAGTGATGATGACAGCCTGTTACAGCCTTCTTTTCCCCCTTCAAAAGAGAAAATAGATTCCTTGCAGTCATTGTTAAAGGAGCTTGGGAAGAATATGAGTGAAGAGAGAGTAAAAGTAAAAATTGAGGAGGAGGACATACTGAACGATGCATTGGCCCATTACAAAAGTCCTGAGTTTGATGTTAAGAAGAAGCTAAGAATCCAGTTTAAAGGCCAACCAGCAGTGGACACAGGTGGTGTTGCAAGAGAATTTTACACAAAGTTGTTCCAAGTCATTTGCAAGATGTTCTTTCAAGGCGGCAAATACAAGAGTCCTGTGTAAAGTGCAGATATTGTAGCCTCCGGACTAATGCGATACTTTGGCAACATGATTGTTCACAGTATTTTACAAGGTGGCCCAGGCTTCCCAGTGTTGAGTCCTTCAGTATACTGTTACATTGCTTCTGGTAATACTGATGCAGCAATGGCCAAGATGAATTATGGAGATTGTTCAGAGCCTGGTAAGCATTTCATTGACAAGGTACAAACTGGACATTTGAGTGCATTCTAAAATTACTGACTGAAAGGGAGCTTGTAATCAATTGAGTAGAATACAGTACTTTGATTGTGACTCGAACATCTTTCAATTCACCTATGAGTATACAATCACTACAATGTCAAGTAACATCATAATCATGACCATGGCATTACAGTTCTTTTTTTTAAAATTTATCTCTAATCTGTGCCTACTTCTTACTATTGCTTCTAATAACATATGCAAATAATATGCAGTACAGATGAAATATACATGTAATGATGATATTGCCAACAATCAGCACACAATAGCAATAAAATTACTATGTTTATTTACAGAACAAAGTTTACAGTCAACTTAATTGAAAACCACTCACATCAGATTTTATTTTTTTATCAATACTAGGTTGCACAAGCTGAAGATGTGTGTAGTCTTGACAAAGAAGAATGCTCAAGTATGTTGTCTGAGTGTGGCCTTGCTGTTGCATTAACAGTAAGTTTGAATTGACTAGCATTGTTGCTTACTGTGAGAACGACCATTTAACTAGAATACACTGAAGGTGTCATTCATCTGTTCAGTAGTTTGCTTGGTCAGTCAGTCAGTCAGTCACACTCCTACAGTCAGTCATTCACTCACTCATTTGCTGACTCACGTATTCATTCATTCTAGAACGACAACAAGATGAGGGAGGGGATCATTATACATGATGTAATTGGCCGCCCTAAGATTATTCTTGACCAGTTGGCGGAGGGTTTAAACACACTTGGATTTCGAGCTGCTATGAAAGAATACCCTGAGTTCCTTGAGGCTCTCTTTATCCCCAGCAAGGAAGAGTTGAATGCAGATTCTGTCATTGGCGTGCTTCAGTTCCCTAAAGATATGGATGACAATGAAAGTGTAGTAGCAGGTTACATTCACATGTTTATACAGAATGCAAGGTTGACACACTGGAAAAATTTCTCTCTTTTGCCACGGGTTCAAAGGCTCTTCCCGATTTTGGCCTGGGAAAAATTCAAGTAAAGTTTGATAGGGTACCGGCTATCTTTGCATCAACATGTTTGTTTCACATTACATTTCCAAATCAATTCGAAGACCAAGATAGCTTAAGTTTGTCACTAGATCTAGAGGCAGTCAAAAATACTACCACAGGACAGTCATTTAACTGTGTGTAACTACAAAGTTCAGAAGTTATTAGACTTCCTTGTTATGCATTTTCTCTATACTCTCAAATTGTATTTTGCTCTGACTACAAGTTGAGTTAATTTTTTTGGACATCAATTTACAACTCCCTGTAAGTGAAGAGTTTACATTGTTAAAGTTACATCTTGTTGTATACATTGTTGACATTTCGAGTTTCTTGTTAGTAACAAGTCAAGGCTATTTGCTCATTAATATTTTCTGCTGTTACTGTTGCTGTTGCTAAGGAGAGTTTCTAAACATCCTTACAGAAAACCATCAAATCCACAAAATGGACTTGCACACACCTACACATGAAGGAAGATCAGTACATGGTTATATTTGCACAAACAATTCATGTTTTTCTTTTCATGTCTTTTAGAAGCCTAAAATGATTATTTCACAATCCAGGGTCAAGCATGGTTTTAATGCAAAGCACAATGTAATAAATATTTTACCTCATACATGTATGAAAACCCCTTAGCACTAGAATTGTTAATAACATCATTAGTCTTTAGCAAGATGCTTTACTGCTCATCTGTATGGTCTAATACTACACTCCAGAATATAAACAGATTACAATCTATTCAGAATTTTGCCAGCAAGATCGTAACAAACTCTAGGAAGTTTGACCACGTAACACCTTTGCTTCGAGAGCTAAACTGGCTTCCTGTTAAAGAACAATTATTCTATAGAGACTCCGTTTTGACCTTTAAATGTCAGAACGACCTTGCGCCTCAATACTTAACGAGCAAGTTTACCAAGCGCTCAAATATACATACTCGTAACACTCGTACACGGAACTCTTTGCAGATTCCGCTATACAAAACGGCTATAGGCCAGCGCACATTTTCCTACAGCGCGGCCTACATATGGAATAACTTGCATAATGAACTTAGGCAAAGTGCCTCATTGGCATCTTTCAAGCGCGCCCTGAAAGACACACTATTGAGGCAGACATTTCCTTCATAAGCGTTAGATTTTAATAGAATACCATCATAAATTGTGATTTCGAGTTTTTATTGTTATTTTTGCTTTTATAAATTGGAAATAGTTTGTAAATAGTTCCTGAAAAACCTCACGAGGATGTTACTATTAAAGTTATTATTATTATTATTATTAGCAACAACTCTAGATCGGTATATGTAGTGAAGTTTGTCCCCCTATAACAATGAAGTGTTCCTTAAAATGAAAGATGGATCCTTTAATGACAACTTGTTCCAACAAAGGATAGTCCTCATACACTGTAATTACGTTACTGATTCGAAAGGTTGAAACCAAAAGACCTATTTGGAAGGTATGTGTTTTTATTTGAACAACACAGTCACTGTAGTATTTCTGGACAAATAATAATTATCACAGTTAGTTGCAATTTATTGTTCCAGTTCTGAACATGTAAGATTACATGTCAATAGATTAAAAGTAGGTTGAAAAAATTATTGTTAGTTGAAATAAATATATAACTTGTTTGTTTTTTGTTTGTCCTTTGGCGTTACTCGACTGACTCTTGAGGGTGTTTCTTATTACAGTAAGTTGGTGATTTGGTTGAATACTTCAACCCCCTCTAAATATGTTAAATTGTCTGTTACAGGTAGGAGATGCATTTCCTCCTCAGTGAATGGGCAGTTTGTGTCCGGAACTTCAACATAATCAGGGCATTGTTCTGGGACGGGACCTTGCCAATCAATCCCATAGTTGCTATAATCGCCCTAAAAAAAAAAAGGATTATTGTAAGCAATTTGTTACATATGTGCTGCCAAAGCATTAACCCCCAATTTCTTGCAATGCTGGCCTGAGGATAGAGATTGGTGATCATAATTTTTAGTTATTACATTTGACACAAGTAATGCTGATTAAATGAAACCAAACATGTTACATACCTGGAACACTTCACCTTCAGGACCAAGAAATCCCCATGCCTCTTGCAGTCCACTAATCCATAACTGCATGGGCGTTCTGTTTCTTTCTGTACGTAATGGATGGTGAACCCATGCGTCTTTCCAATTACTCAGATGTCTGTTGATGATAGGCACGAACACGTAGTGTAGGCACCAGAGGTGACAATCATCATCTGCATTTAACACATCCTGGTTTTCTAGGGTATAGAAGAGTTCATAGAAGAGGCTAAGGCAGCCCCCATATAAGTCTCTCCAAAGTCGTTCAATCCTTTGATTGTGTGTGCTCTTTCCTAGTGATTGCAAAGAATATAATTTTATAGATTAATAAAATTTTAGTTTACTTAATTATCTGTTAAACATTATCTAACAATTGGTGTCAAATACTCCCCCCCCCCCGCCCTGCTTAAAAAAAAAAAAAGGAAAGAAAAGGAGAAAAGAAAGAATTGTTTAATAGTCTCTTGATTCCTTCCGGGCTTAATAGTTTCTTTAATTACCATCATACTTAAAACAAGTCACAACCGGATTTGGGAGCATGGCAATCACCATGCTCATTCTTAACAACACACACAAGCATTCATGAAAACAGTTCCCCTTAAACTAATTTAATGAAACTTGTGAGTTATTAATAGTAATATAATGCTATTCATACAGCATCATTTCTCCTTGCCTAGAAATCCTCAAGATTAGTTCATGATCCCATAAGTACCTATTTCATTATATAAAATGTAGCATCCTTTGTTAAAACCTATTCAGGATCTTAAAGTATAGCCTGAATTCAAGATCCCATCTATTACAAACCCAGGAAAGGTCATCTAGCTAAGGAAAGATAGATTACAAGTAGTCCCCATTTTTCTTAACGGATAGTAGATTGAGTGAAACCGTGCATCATAAAAATCATCCCACGCGAGAAAGGAGAGACGCGGCGGGGAGATGCGTTCTACTATCCCTGAGGAAAAATGGGGACTGCTCATAGTCTAACCTAAGTAATAATGATGCAGTACTCTGTACCTGTTATCATACTTCCCCTGCCTGGCCCTCGCTGGATGTGAGTAAGCATATAGGTTGCTACATCTACGTTCTCCCCTCCTTTGTCAGAGCGGACCCGAGATGGAAGGCCGTACTCTGACACAGCTTCACGAAAACATGAAAGAACAGTGCTTGCCTTGTTGTCATTTGAGGCCTTCAAATAGACTGGGATTCGAGAAAAGCCATCGATTCCTCCATGTATAACAATTCTCCATCTGTTAAAAAAACCCCTTAATTTACATACAAGAGTGACAAACAAAAAATAAAAGCTCCTGTTAGGGCAACCTTATCATGTTTGGTGTTACCTGCAAGCGGTTAAAAAAGATGGGGACAGGGAAACAGTTATCAATCATGATCAATGTCTTCAACTGTAGCTAAAACACAGTTTAAAAAGTCTTGCATTAGCTGGTGTTGTGGCCACAGTTTAGTGTTTTCTTTTTGGTTCATTCAAGGTGTGTATGTTTACAGGAGGTATCCAGTAGCAGAATTTTGATTGTGTTTAACTTGGACCCACGCACAAGATCACCAGGGGAAACTATGACAATGTACACTGTACAACAGGTATCTTTATCAGTACCTTATCAGCTTATGGTTCCCATCTATGTGCCATAGTGAGAGTGGATACCTAACATTGTAATGTCGCCTCCTAGTGGTACTTCTCCATCTCTCCATAATACCAATGGGATCTGTTCGCAACAGGGATAATCTTATTCTTTCTCGCTGAATGCGAAACCCTTTGCTTTATGAATAACCTTTGAGCATTCTTATACCCATTCCAGGATGCTGGCTTGAAGCAGTTTGAACGAGCTCATCCAGTTGGTTGTCTTCTATATCACTGAACATACCTGAACCAAAGCAATATAATGGGGTAAAAAATTTTCATTGTAGGTGTTGGGTAATGAATAGTAATAATGATGATGGTGATGATGATGATGATGATAATAATAATAATAACAATAATAATAATAACTTTATTTTAGTATGATTTTGTCATAAATCTCAAGCTAGGTAGAATGGTGAACAAAATTTTAGTTCAAACACTTCTGTGTGTTTTACTAATACTGGGCATCCAGATATGTAAAACTGCCATAATAATTTAATAACATTCTTCAGGCCTGAGGCTACACTTGACATTGTAACTTTTTCTCAGTCAAGCTACCCCTGAAGTGTGAACGGTCAACAACAATAAAGATAATGATGGTATAAGGAAAAATCTATCATTTATGGGAGTGGATCCCTAGGTAAAAGTAAGTGGAAGTCAACATTTTAATTTGCAAAATCTTAATCACCACTGCTTGGTGCAACAACTATCAACATTACTTTTTATAGCCTTAATCCTGTACTAAATATTATCACTTTGTTATAAAAATTGTCCTTGTAGTAGTTTATCATCTCATTAGACAAAAATAAAAGATTCATGTTACCTTATACCTGATACACTCAACCCAAATGTTGACATCCTCCTCTCAACTGTCCTGGCACTCACTCCAAGGATTTTACTTATGTCACATACTTTAAACCCTTGCTCAAGTAAAAAATGAAGCTGTTCCTCGCTGATTTCATATGAAGGTCTCCCTCGTTGCCCTCTACTATTCAATGGAGCTTGATATGCATAGTTAACAAGGTTTCTTTGATCAATTTCAACCAACATCCTGTAAGCATGTCCAATCAATTCTGTGACTAGTTCATCCACATCGAGGCCGACAGCTATTCTTTGCAGAAAATCCAACTTGAAAACTATTGGTTGGAAATCTACTGATGGATCTGCAGATCCTGTAAATCTGTCTATAGCACTGATGATATCCAAGACAGCTAAATTTAAATAGGCTTTGTCATCAGACATCTGCGGGATCAAATATTTGAGTAATCTCATGATGAAACAAATTGATCAATTAACAGCGCTTATCGCATGAGAATACAATTTCTGGGGGAATATTTAAGCTACTTCTACATGAGAAATTTCTGCAATTTGATTGGCTTAGAGCAGTGGTATTTCAGCTTAAGCTTAATTTGAAATACTTACATATGAAAATTACAAAACCTTTGCAGGTAGTAGTATAAACAAATAATAGCATCATGTGTACCTGATTTTTGGTATAAATACTACTTGTGACATTTCAAAATTGTCTTAAATTTCACTCGTGAAATTTCAAATATCACTCGTGGTATGTATGCTAAATATCACTACAAAACATGCTTTACCTTTTCAAAGTAAGCTGAAGAGATGCAAACAGGTAGCGCGTTGCCTCCCTGTTTGTGTCACGTATAGTGTCCCACTAAAGAAGGCAGAAGTCGGTTGGACAACACTCACCTCCCTCGAAGACTGTGCAGCATACTGGCGATCGGCCATGTTGTTGTCGACGTCTGGTTTGTCGGGAGTGGAGAAGGTCTCCCGAGTCCACTCGACTGGGAAGTCTCTCGACCACCATTTGAGCGGGGGTAGGTCAGGTCAATTGAGCCCACGATCTTAATCGGTCGCTGACCAGCGGGTAAAAGTCAAAGTCGAAAAGTTGAATGTCGAATGCGGAAACTTGCAAGTACAATGCTCAAAGTCGGATGTCGGAAGCGAAAACTTAAAGGACAAATGCTAAATGTTGGATGAGAAAAAATGAATGTACATTCCACTGAACTTGAAGGTAGAATTCTAAAACCTGACTGTTGCTTATGAAAAGTGAATGTCGAAAGCGAAAACTTGAATGTTGCATAAATCAAAGTTGAATGTTGAATGCAAAAAAGTTGAATCGCGAGTGCAAACTCAAATGACAAACACAAAGTGTAGGATAGATTGTGCAAAGTAGAATGTAAAATGGAACATTGAATTTTGGCGGAAATGGAACGCCATAGTGGGCCCCCCCCCTGCGATCTTCCTATTTATAATTATAATAATTATTATTCTGTTGCTCAAACGGCCCTCCACCAAGTGTACCTTTCAATTTTCTCTTGTGTTGGACTGTGGGACCAGAAACTTTAACCTGAGCATAAAATGCCAGCGAAGCTTAATAAATAAAAATTCGAATGTCTGAGGATACACTGAACTAGACCTCCAGAGGGTCCCTGAACTTCAAAGATGCAAGTCGATATTTGGTACAAAAACGGTCCACACGTTTAACACAACTGTCGCTTCCGTGCAAAACGGTACAAGCTAATTTATATACATAACAAAGCCCAATAATTTTTCTTTCACTTCTTTACAATTTCCTGTTGTACCGATGTGCACGAAACTAACAGTAAGCATAGAAAGTCAAAATTACCCACCTTTTTGGCATGCCTTTCGCACCCATGCCGGCGATTGCAAAGCCAATATCTCCGACAAATAACCACCACTGGGTTTGTCCGCCGTTTCCAAGGCGCTACATTTTCTAGAGAAAACATTCCGCGCAAAACTTTCACCAAAATGTTTTTTGATCTCTTACTATGGCAAGAAAACCACAACGCTATCACTGTCAAAAAAACAGCCATTATATTTTTCATCTCAACCGGCATTTTTGCCTCAGAGCCAATGACATTGCCCGAAATAGATGACGTGCCATTTTTAGTGGAGCATGCGCAGACATTTTTCGCCGGTGAGGGTTTCTTCCAGTTTAGATTCGCCTTTGTGATTTCGTGTAATGTTGGGTCCTTTTAGCGGATTTTCAGTGTGTCACCTCCGCAAAATGCCGGACTTTTTTGTGCGGGGTTACCAAGTACCAGCCAGCCATTCCTCTGAAAATCGAGCATTTTCTCTCAGAGGTGAGTGTTGCTTTCTTCATAACTAGTGTGTAGCTCATTGAAATATACCGATTCATAA